GCTGCTCAGCGCGCTCTTAACTTATACAAGCTTACCCATAACTTATTCGACGACGCCAGTGCGTATTCACCAAATTTTTTGACTTACGTCCGGCATTACTCGCTGAGCTAAATCGTCAATGTCGTACAGGGCCATAGTAACGATTGCTAACGTGGTTATTTATGAAAAAATATTTGTATTACCTAATAGTTATTATTATAACAAATGGCCTATTATATATTATATAATATATTATCATATTATATATAAACACATTAATATGTAATATGTTTTCATTTTGCTCGTTTATGCACTTCGAATTGACTATTTCATGTGAATTCAGCTCAATTTGGCAGTCACCATGACCGGCAATATAGGGGGCTGATTCTGGAACAACATTAGCGGTTTTTATTGCACAATCAGTCCGCAGATGTGCGCCACAATCGCATTACGCCGGAAAATGCACCCAAACATTGTGGAGTTGTAATTGTTTGAGCATCGAAAGCCGTTTTGTCATATAACTAAGTATCATCAAATTTGATACAAAAAATTGTAAATCGCGTTCATACTTTATTTAATAGACCGATCGTAAGGCTTGCATAGGTTCATACATAATCAAATTTGGTTGGTCGTAAAACTTGAAATTAAGCACAACGCCACACCCTATACAACAGCCACAGGCACAGGCAAGGGAACCATAGATACAATAATGTAACCCAAACCCAATGAGGATAGGCGTTACAAAGCCTCCCCTATCCTTTTCGTTGCGTGTGCCAGAATGCCCGAGTGAATCACTCGGGGCCAGTGCTGGTGGCGTTTCCAGAGACTAGAACTTTCCAGAACTGGCGCTTTATTCTCACACGAACTTTTTCTCGTATCTGGGAACTTTACTATGTATCGCAATACTCGTGTATTAAACTAATAATAGTAGATATAACCTGTTACAAAAAAATTCGAAGTGACGATCGCCGTTCCGAATAATATACTATCGAGCGCGTCCATTTTCTGCTTGACTTCTACCTCTGACGTACGCATATTCCCAATTGCGCATATTCGATCGGGCAAACGCAGCGCCTTCCGAATTGGTTACGGTTTGAATCCGCCTCTTTCAATAACCGATCAGTACGTCAAGTCGTCAACAAAATGGCCGCTCAGTATATTTGCCGCTCGTCACTTCGGAATTTTTTTGTAAACAGGTTTATTAGTTTAATACAGAGTATTCCGATACATTTAGTAATCGATTCCAGATAGCCGGAGAAAGGTTCGGTTGTAGAATAAACCCAGTTTGGCAATTTTCTACGTCTCTTTAAAACGCCAACCAGCAAACCGGCTCTCGAGTGATTCACTCCGGGAGCATTCCTTCCGTCACAAAGGTCCATTAGGGAGTCTTTGTACTCTTCTTCCTCTATGGGTGTTAGGCTACATTATTTGTAATCTATTGGAACCATAGCTCCATAAGAAACCGGTATTTCTAGGGCAAGGCTCGACAACTAACTTGTTTTTTTTCATGGCACCGATCGGGCCACCAAATCATTGATTTTCAATTTTTTTGGTGGCCCGAAAATGAATCTGGTGGCTCCGAAAAAACACAGCAAAAAAAAAAACATTATATCTTTATTTTCAATCTCGTATTGTATATTATTTGAAAATTGGCGTCTGAGTACACTTGCACAAGTCGTTTAAACAAAACCCCACACCACTTGACATTAGATGATTTGCAGGGCATACATTTGAATTATCTCATTCCATCGCCCCATCAAATTTTTTCACCAGAACCGCGATTTGTCTGGCTTCGCTTGATACAATGTAATCACATGTATGCTGCGCTTGCCAAAATATCGCTGTGCGCCTGGCTGCCCCGTCAGATTTTGGTACCTCGGCTAGACTGGTTCGGCGCGAACGGTTTCGTCGCAGAGCAGTGTTACATCTGTCTAGCCAGAAGCGTGGGGCCGCATCCAGCTCTAACACAATTACGATGGCTTGTTGCAGCCGCAGTAGACGGATAAACCGTGCGGCCCTCGTGTATGCCGCGGGTAGTCATTGCCTGCCCGTGCGTACGTGTGCCTCGCTCCGCGGAATTGCTCGCTTCTCTTTGATGACGATTAGCACGTAAGAAACAATTATCTTTATCACATAGACACTTTTGAAATTTTTAGTGGCCCGATTCGGGCCACCAAATTTTAACTTTTGTGAAAGTTTTGGTGGCCGACATCAAGTTTTGGTGGCCCCGTGCCACCGGGGCCACCGCTGAGTGTCGACGCCTTTGTTCCTATGGGTCTAAGATACCGTATAGAACAAATCCGTCGACAGCCTTGTCGGGCTATTGGAACCACAGCCTCAGGCTCTTGAGCGGTTTCATAAAATATATACGCAGGGGTCGTGTGCTGTGCACGCGACAGAATAAATATATAGTATATATTTCAACGTTATATTTTATATATATCAGAAGCGGATTTACATACTAGAGTGCTACAACGAAACAGGCGGAAATAGTGTGTTCTCACGACTACATCTCATTTCTACTTTGCCTGCCGTATGTCTAGAATAAATATACATAGGTATGCATTCAAGCAAAATTCTTTGCTCTCTAAAACAAGACCAACCCGCTTGTCAAGTACGATACTCCTAGGCGGAGGATATCGCGCTCACTTAAACCGCCCCTCCCACATGCCCAAACGCCCCCTCCGTATCCACTTCTGCCCAGCCATCCTACACGCGGTTTCAATGTCGTCTGCTGTGTCTTTTGGTGAAAGTTCGGTTTATTTTCCGTGATTAAATTTATGACCATGGACGTCGGCCTTCGTTATCATTAGGTTACATTCGTGGTCGCCTTATGCCTTATCTTCCATTTATCTTTCACTAGCACGCGTTTATCATGTCCCGTCATGATGGAGCGGCTCCATCAAAGTTTTTTACAACGCAGATCTCCAGTTACTCAGTGTAGTAACAGTACCAAATTGGGCATATGACCATTCAGATTATCATGCGCTCAAGTGGTGACGGTGCAACCGATAGCCAAATGCTTTACCCGCGTTGTAGGATGGTGGCAGAAGTGGAATACCGATGCGAAAGATATATAGGCATGTGTGAGGGAGTTTAGGAGCCATTATCTCAGACCTATGCTAGATATCGTATTGACAAGCGGTCTGGTCTTGTTGTACGAGAGCCAAGAATTCTGCTTATGCTAATACGGCATGAAATTTATTTCTCAGACCTCACAGGCCAATAGGTTTAGAATAATGTAGGTCGTGAAATGCAACGTATTTTCCCGTTTTTCCGTTGCTGACACTCCTATAGGTAGTTATCCTGCTCCTTGACTATTACTATATTTATAACTATCCCATAACGGTCTCAAGGATTAGAGAACATGGCCATCTGAAACCTATGTCATTCTGGTAATATGTGGCGTAAGCCTTTTTAAAATCGACAGGGGTAATCTGTCAGGGTGTTCTTTTGTTCATTTTTCGAAAACCGATAAACATGATGTGCAGTAACAGGAGTGTCGTAAAAACAAATGCCTTCTTTCGCCTATTATTGCGATAATCATCTGTAAGTGCAACGTTTGAAATGCTTTGTCTGCACATATATCGTGCATCTGCCATGCACGCTGACGTGGACTACACACACCTATATAATATATATATATATATATATATAAGTGTAAATGTGCAGCGGCGTGCGTGCGGTGTACCTATGTGTTGCAAAGGAGAATTTGAACGGTATTTACAGGAAATTGTCAGCAATAATAGGTGAAATTAACAGAGTAGAGAAATATTAAGACTGGTAGTAAATACATTTCTTGTCTGTAGCATTATTTTTTTATTGAGACGTTCCAAGTACGTGCCTGTGATCACAATGGGCAAGTTATTGTAAATGCTGATATCTGATGCTAAATTGCACACGTGCGTGCGTGCACACATAGCGCAATGCAGACAGTTAATTTACATGTGTTGATGAACCGCGGTTGACCCGTGTGTATCCTCACTGTCCTGGCACCAACCTTACAGAAATCGGTAGACTATATATATAGGTGTGTATCGATCAGTGCTACATTTCTAGCTGTTATACTATAACGTATGCCTATCCACCTCAGCAGTTTTTGTTGCATCTCCTAAGTTTTTGCATAAAACAATACTGATTTACTATAGGGTGCAGCTTTCGATGGTTATAAAGTGTAAGGTAATTATAATGTTCAAATCTGATCACTTAAAAATTGAGAGATCAATTAACAGACATTTCTTGCATATATTGACGCAGTGTACGTATCTTAATAGTTTGGGATGTTTGCGTAATTCGGAGATGTTACGGCTTGATGATGTTTTAAGTACTATCATAGATTTGTTCATGTATAAATGTATTAGATAGATAGATCGCAGCTAGACGTGTGTTACCGTATACATCAAACCATATATGCTTCTAACCAATACATTATGTAATATGTGCTAGGCTATGCAATTCTGTGGCAGCACACTGATATTTGTCCCCATTATCACTCTTACTGATAACCTATATATGTCTACGAGTGCTTTATTTCTGTTCAAAGTAACCATGTCAATACGCCATTGCTATGAGTACAGCGGTTTACAGTTGACATAAAGCGTGTCCGGGTTATCGTAATCTATAGATTCTATATGACAAGTGCTGTTTCAGCAAAAATAATTAGGCAAGCATGTTTTTCTCCAGTAGGTGGTGCTGGTGTTTTGTACGACCAGCCATTCATATAACTGCTGAATACTCGCTGAAGGGACGTCTCGCGCATTAGTACTTCTACAAGATGAGCAATTTCAAAACTACTGGTCAGGAGAACGACCGCGGTCAGTTAAACGATGAGCTACACAGGACTACAGCGCACAACTGGGAGGAATATAAACAGCACAGTGTGTGGGACGACGGGACAAACACATTTTTCTGGTAATTAATACGAATACATGCATGGTCTTACATTTTCTATATTTCACCTATTATCGTATAAGCAAGTAGTAGCTTTTCTCAGGGTTCGTAGCGGGTCTTCCAAAGTCTTATAAGTACTTATTTTGCCAAAAATAAAATAAGGGCCCTTATTAGTACTTATTTTTGGTGAAATCCTAGAAAAGTACTTAATAGTCCTTATTTTTTGCTAAAGGACCATTTTTCAACATTTTCTGTGTTGAATTTCGGCGAAACGGCTTTATATAAATATTATTAGCGTACTTTAATAATCGGTGATCTATCAGAAATCGCGTAAAAAAGTCTTATTTTGGCCTCCAGAAAGAGTCTTATAAGTCCTTATTTCAACATGTGTCTTACTACTATGAACCCTGTTTCTCATAATGAGGATCATTTTAATGTACACTGTAGTTGTTGGGTCTCGATATATGTGATCGGCTACACACGTGATAATAAGTGAGGACAATTTTTGTCACATAGTAGTCACATTTTACAGTGTATCTTTAACAGTGTGATTCACTACAGTATACAGTGTCTCTAAATTGTGCTTTTCTGATTTTGCAGGAGAGCTCACACGTTAACTGTACTGTTTCTAATGACGTGCAGCCTCCTCTACGTTGCTGTCTTTGAGGAACCAAACTCTGATTCAAATTACAATGCAAAAAGGTAACGTGTAATGGTAGTTTTACAGAAAAATGTGCGAAAATAACATTGTTTCTAGACAGAACATGCAACTGTTGATTCTGATCCATATGGTTCACGAGTGCAGAGCAAATATCGTGTTTTTTTTCTCTACTGAACCTACTTAAATCTGCTGACATAATACATTTGTCATGTAAATGAGGGCATTGGTATGAAACAGGGGAGCTGTGTATGAAAGTGCATTACTGTGTTTGTAAAAAGTACAATTATCTCTCATGGCCATATCATATGCATGTGTGCATGTTTCTTGACAGTACCAGTAGTAGCCATACGGTATAACCTAGGGTGCAGATTGATATGCAAATAAGACTGTCCATGTGATTTCTCTTGCTGTATCTTCTTGCTTGCTTACTTTCTTATTTGTCTGTCTATTAAAGGGGACTAATAGCTGTGGTGTGTGCCTTCCTTCTGTTTGGAGTTATACAGACACCTGATGGTCCATTCAAGCGACCCCACCCCGGTAAGTCCATTTGCCCAATCATCAAAAAGTGCAGTCTCATGTATAGTTACCGAAAGACATAGTAGTCTTGGCTGAACCAGACACACCCATCAGCATTATGCACTGCTATCAAGAGTGAGATATAATAACACAGGGGTATTATCTTACTCTTGCAGTCTTGACTGCTATTCAATAAATGCTTGGGTTGATAGGATGCGTGTAGACCCGATGTTTTCTTGTGATAGACACATGTCAGTCACCTGCATCTCTATTTAGCACGGCCACTCACTGCTAGCTACTGCACTCAAATTCCCACTCATTTATTCACCAGCAATAATTTATGCTGATTGAAGTAGTTCCTGAAGACCACTACAAGATGTTCTCCAGATTGAGTGTAAAATGCGAGGAAACCTGTTTGACCATGAAGAATGTTCAAAATGCTCGTCAGCTAACCCAATGACACACATTAGGCGACTTGGATACCACTCACTGCATATTGTGCGCGTGCACATTGGTGCGTGTGTGCATGCTTGTGTGGGAACGTGCGTGCGTGTGTGCATGTTCACGTGTGTAGCCGCATGCATTTATCACATGTATGTGTATCCTTGTTATATTTAAATACAGATAAACAGACAAACACACAGTGTAATTATGGAACAGTATCATTCTAAAGAGCATATATATATATCCATCCTCATTTACTACTAGTGTACGATTATCCACCATGGTGGACTTGGTTGCCATTCTGAGCTAATTTCATGTTAAATTTATATTGCTTGCTGGATAATATCACTCCATAAAAATAGTTATGCAAAATACTAATATTGTTGTAGTATGGTGACTATTATAATTAGTTTGATATAGATACAGCTGGATTGTTAATGTAGTAATAATATATATATGATGTGACTGTAAAGATCTCCTAAATGTCTTCAAGTAACACGTGTACAATCGTGTTGCAGTTGTGTGGCGGTTTGTCTTCTGCATATCAATTCTGTACGAGCTTGCCCTGATATTCATACTCTTCCAGGTGAGTATAAGGCATTTTAGCTTCATATTATTCATGTATATTCAGAGTGTTAGCCAGGGGAAAAAATAACGGAGTCTCACCATGTGAGCGAAGCGAGGATGCTGCGGGTGCGAAGCGCCCTAGGTGGAAAAACCAACGCTTTTATTTTCATGCAGGGGTAAAATTGGGCCGCCCTCAAGTCATGCGCCGTCTCTATCAAATTTCATCCTTCTCATCCAAGAATAGGCCGTCCAAAAGACGGGTAGACGAACGGGTCTCTGGCTAACACACTGTGTATATTTTATGTGTAATTTGCTTACACAAAATGTGGGTGTGCATGTGTGCATGTGACACATCATAATTTATGAATGAACAACATCTAAACAACAACATTGGCCCTCACTTGTTTACAATTACCAGGTTATACGTGTTAATTCTCACTTGATATCATTAGCGCACAATTCTTCTAGATGGTATAAGGATTACATAATTGTTCTTGTGTACTATGGAATAACAGTTGAACGTACTATTGAGCGTACAACATGCTTAATCAGAATTTACAGTTAGCTTTTGGAGACTTTCTAATTTGCCATCTCGATTTCATTTCCCTGCTGATGGTGGTGTCATGCATCTCATATGGGTTGTCACCTTGAAACCGTGTATAGGTTTGCGAGCATGGTTGAACCAGTGAGTTATGCCATCAGGGTGACTATAGGGTCTCAGCACTCAGTGTCAGAAACAAAATTAAACTTGGCATTAGTCTCTAACATGAACTCTTTCTCGTAGAATGGACCTCTATACACGTATGAAGATCTTGTATCTTTATCAAGTTTCTGTCAGTGGGCTGTGAATGAAAGGTAATGTTAAGACTAAAACCCGCCGCACACGCTGTGAAACTTGCTGTGCCATCGTCCACACGTGGAAAGTGGCGCAGCAAGTTCCACAGCGTGTGCGTATGCAAAATCTTTCGATCTGGGTCGTGTGGAAAATATCACACGTGTTTGATATTTTCTTCCACGTGTGGAAGTTTGAACAGCATGTGCAGAGCCTTCCACACCCAATTCGCATTGTTTGCTTGATTGTTCGCTTGGACGCATTGTAATCTCAGCTCGCAGCTCGCATAGAGGCATATCCAAGAACTGATCGATCAAACGTCGTGTGAACGCTCTCGTCAACGACGCTCCGTGTCCAAGCGAACAACAAAGCGAACAATGCAAATTGGGTGTGGAAAGCTCCGCACACGCTGTTCAAACTTCCACACGTGGAAGAAAATATCAAACGTGTGATATTTTCCACACAACACAGATCGAGGGATTGTGCATCCGCACACGCTGTGGAACTTGCTGCGCCACTCTCCACGTGTGGACGATGGCACAGCAAGTTTCACAGCGTGTGCGGCGGGCTTAAAACTAGTTTAATTTCTGACAATGAGTCCCCGGTCGGTTCCTCCTTCAACAGGTTTAGAAAGTGTTGTTCATGAAAAAAAATTTCCCCTTTGTGAGAACATATAGAATGCAAGTTGTGTAGAGTGCGCTCTCGCAGAGAAGTGCGAATTCTGTGTGCTGGTACACTTCAGACAGTGGGCGATGCACGCAAGCTGATGGTACAGATGGAAAGCAGTCTGGGCAAGCCACTGCCCGAGCAGAGCTATGGTGATGACTGTACCGTCTATGACCCAAATCACCCAGATGGAGCCTTTCACAATGTGTGGGTACGTTTGGGCGAAATTCATTTTTTTTTACTGCAAGGACAGTGTTTGGCACCCGCAGGTTCCATCCATGTAAACTAAATGTCAAGCTTATGAATTGATGCCTCTTCCATTTATAGGTTAAAGTGTTAGTGATTACACCAAATAGAAAGTGGTTTGAAATCAATAGTTTGAATAAATTTAATTAGGAAGGATACATTGAGTTTATGATGTAACCTCAGCTAAAGATGATGATTAGGGTTAATTGTCTACCAAACTTTATCACTGTAGCGTAATTTAGTCATATCTCTGTCTATAATGAGTGAGTGTATTGATATGTTAGGCTCTGGAATTCTTATTTCATTAACAGTACTAATATTTCAAAAACTAAAAAAAATCCACCCCTAACTCATCAAATGATAAATATGATATAAATGTAAATACGTAATTTTAATAACAGAATAAGTAAAAAATGCAACTAGCTAATATAATAATTTACCATCTCATTTCTGTTGTCTTGTTGTTTTGCAGGATAAAATTGACTGCTTCGTACCTTCACATTTCATCGGATGGTACGCAAAGGTAAGCAAAGATATTGAAGGGATACAAACACCCAAGTTTCTTTTAATTACCAAATCTCACCTTTGCCATTTCATTGATTATTACTATGGCTGTGCGTGCGTGACACCACATGCTGCACTACTTGACTTACTATCTTCCTGTGCTTGACACACATTCATGTAATTAATATCGTAATTATAAGTGAGTGGATCTTGTATATTATTAATATATAAATTATATAATCATTCAAATATATCAATTGTATAAATGTAAGTATGTTGAGTTGATGCATAATTATCGTGGCGTGGGCATCTGCTTGTCACGTGTGTTCTATTTTGTAGACACTCATAATGCGTGACTACTGGCTATGCATGGTCATCAGCATCATGTTTGAAGTGCTAGAGTATACACTGGAGCACCAGCTGCCCAACTTCAGCGAATGCTGGTGGGATCATGTTAGTATAGTTCTAGCATCTTTAGGCCAAAACAAAATATAGGTGTGGTTACGGTTTCCTGACCGACCCTATTTATTCCCAGCGACCCTATTTATTCCCAGCGACCCTATTTATTCCCAGCGACCCTAAACATTTTATTGTCAATTTAAAAAGTCCAAAAAAATAAAAAATAAATAAAAAATAAATAAATAAAAATATGAATTGGACAGTTCCTGCTTCAAAAGGCACAACGCACATCCTTCGGACATGGTTCGTAAATAAAATATTTCAAGAAAATAAATTGTTTTCCTTACCTACCTACCCTATTTTTTTTCGGCATGTAACGGTAACCACACATATATTTTGTTTTGGCCTTATCTTCTTTCATCACGACCGCCATTGATGGTTGTTGTTTTCTTCGACACGTGGTTAATACTGTTGATGTCTCAATTGCTTGCGTCATCCTGTTTAAATGTGTATAGCATGAAACGTTATATACAACATATTGTAAACATAAATGTAATATAATACTTGAAAGTATTTTTTCAAAGATACACCTAAATATATTGATCTGTCAATGACAGCTGGACCGGTTGTCGAAATGTCGTTAACAAGTAAAGATATTCGAATTTTATCTTAAAAATAAAATAAAATAAAATGACTTCTAATGTTATCATGAAATCCAATGCATCTGTTCCAACTCTGGTCCTTTCTGCATTGGTGTCATGCACCACGTGTGTCTACCATCACCTTGCGCACATCAATTAAAAAGAAATCACTAAACTGGGGTGAGAAAGGTACTTCGTGCTTCAATTAAGCGATCGCCTCATAGTCGAAGTTGTGGACAGTTGCTGAGAGTATAGCTATTGCTCGCTTTATTGCAGTGGATCATGGATGTGCTGGTCTGTAACGGTCTCGGCATCTACTTTGGAATGATGACGCTCAACTATTTGAAGATAAAACCGTACCACTGGCGCGGTCTGTGGAGTATACCAGGATACAGGTGAGAGCGTGTATGACGTTAGGGTTAGGGTTAGGGTTTGCGGATAGGTGTGCTGTTCACAGGTAAGTCCGTTGATCGCCTACAGGTAATCGCGTCATCGGTTAAGTGTGCTGTTTGCAGGTAAAACATATTGTCTGCAGGTAAGCACACTGTCTGCAGCATTGTCAGCAGGTGTCAGCAGTAGTGTTGTCAATCGGTTGTAATTTCGTAATCGATCATCGGTTGGACCCAAGTAACCGATCATCGGTTACAATCAGTTACTCGGGGTGTTGAATGCCTGCGTGTGCGTAACGTCGTGTGCATGTACGTGTTTGCATGTAGTAGCGATCGCCGCGAACGTTCGGACTTTCAGCGTTACGGGATCGGCCGCGAAGCCGTTTGAACTTTGACTTACGAACGTCGCGAACCGTTTGGAGCTTTCACTGTTACGGATCGCCGCGGAACGTTCGACCTTTCAGCATTACGGAACGTCGCGAACGTTCGGACTTTGCACTTAACGGATGCGCCGCGAACGTTCGGACTTTCACTTAGCCAAGGAACGTCGTGAACGTGTTATGACTTTCACTTACGGATTGCCGGCAAACTGTTCGGCAGCTTCACTTACGATCGCCGCGAACGTTCGGACTTTCACTACGGATCGCGCGCAACGTTCGGAATTTCCAACTTACGGATCGTCGGCGAACGTGTAGGACTGTTCACTTACGGATCGCCGCAAACGTTCGGCACTTTCACTTACGGATCGGCCGCAACCGTTTCGGACTTTCACTTAGCGGGATCGTCGCGAACGTTCGGTACTTTCCACCTTACGGAACGCCCGGCAACGTTCGGACTTTCACTTACAGATCGCCGCGAACGTTCAGCACTTTCAAGCTTACAAATCGTCGCAAACGTTAGAAGCTTCACTACAGATCGCACGTGAACGTTCGGACCTTTCAACCCTTACGACCTCGCCGCAAATCTTAGGACCTTCACTTACGAACGTCGCGAACGTGCTGGACTTTCAACTTAACGGATCGCCGGCGCAACGTTCGACTTTCACTATACGAGATCGCCGCAGAACGTTCGACTTTCATCTTAGGGGATCGCCGCAACGTTCGGACTTTCACTTACGGATGCGCCGGCAGACGTTCGGACCTTTCACTTACGGATCGCGGCAAACGTTCGGAACTTTCACGTAGCGGCCTCGCGCGCAACGTTCGGGAGCTTTCCAACTTACGGATCGCCGGGCAAACGTTCGACCTTTCACTTAGCGGAATCGCCGCAAACGTTCGCCCTTTCACTTACGGATCGCCGCAACGATTCGGAACTTTCAGCTACGGATCGTCGCGAACGTTGACTTTCGCTAATGAGAAATTAAAAAAGAAGGGAGAAAGA